GGGAGAGCAGGCGGGAGAGCAGGCGGGAGAGCAGGCAAGAGAGCAGGCTGGAGAGCGGGCGGGGAGTAGGGGAGAGTCCTCTCCCGCGGATGGTGGGGTGGGAGAGGAGCCGCCGGCCCGCCGCGGGGAGGGTGCCAAGCTGTCAGACGTGGCCGCGTCGGAGTCTCATATCAGTTTCCTCCTCGGGCAATTTGCACGCACTTGCTGGCGCAGTCTTCCGCCGAGGAAGCCTTGGGCTAGGGCGGGCGCGGCAGGGCGCGGCGGCGAAAGGGAGGGTGAGGCGGAGCGGGTGAGAGCCATTCCGCATAGTCAGCGCAGCCCAGAACTGAAAGTTCTGTCAAATTGAAACAACTGCCCGAGACACTTTTAATGAGGAGGGAGGGTGCGGGCGTCTTCCGCCTCGACCGCCATAAAACTGGAAAATTTGCAATGCACAACGCGGAGAAACAAGGTATATTTCCTTTTGTTTCAACCCGCGCCGCAAAATCTGGCCTCGTCAATCATCAATCAAAACGACCAGCAAATCATCGGAACGGGTCGGGGCGGGGCACAGAGAGTCCAGGGCGGAGGGGTGGGGCGCTCTCTGGCGGGGGAGCCGCGCGCTCAGCCGCGTCCACCAAAAGTGGAACAGACTATGAAAAATTGCGCGGCAAGAGTGAAAAAGGGTGCGATAAAGTGCGTGGGGGCGTGAGGCTATCAGGATGGCAACCCCCGCGGTCACGTACACTGCAACGCACTGCACGGTGATTTGTTCGGGGAGGGGGGGCAGTGGAGGGAACCGTTTTGATTTCTCAACACCCCGCTGCTGGACGCCACAAAGCTCTGCTGCCAACAACTGGACTGTGTTTCTGGATTCAGCACAGTTTGGCTCGACTCGGATTATTCGACTCAAAGAGGCGCGTCGGAGGGCTAGGGAAGGAAGGTTAGCCAACAGCCTAACTACCCGCATCGAGCTCTTTAGATCAAACTTGTGGTGGGGATATACAGCCCACCTTGAATGGGGTACTCTAAACTTTGGGATTTCTAAACGGATTCCGTAATGGTGCAAAATGAAAATTCCGTGGTTAGCGCAAAATCACCAAGTAGGACAGTGACTAATTTTACCGACTTTTAAAAAATTAATTAAGCTTGTAAACAGCCAAACGGAAACAATATTAGCTATATAGCTAAACAACAGCTAAAAAGGAGATTACTATATAGTTAGCTATGTAGTAAAAAATATAGCTCCCAGCTAAAAATTTAGGTATGTAGCTAAACATAGAGATAGCAACTGTTTATCTACATAGCTAAATAATTAGTTATTTCTCATTTAGCTATTGGTTTAGCTATACATCTAATCCCTTTTTCGTGCATTGATATACATTTTTGCAAGCTTGGCGTAATCCGGCTTTCAGCGGACAGGGTCCGTTCCAACGGGCTCGCGCACACGGAAGTCCAGCCGCAATGGCACGGCACGCCCGACCACGACAAGCCACAAGGCCCCAGCCCCAATCGATACGAACCGATGCGAGTTACACAGTAAAAAAGGAAACAATGTAGAGTCCACCCACGTATCCACTAAAACTAGTTGGTGTATATAGCTTCCATTCATCCTACCGCATTGTACACAATGCACGCAGATAAATCCACATACATGGATGTACACGGATTAATCAGTGAGCATAGCCATGTCCACCGATTCATCACATAATCACATTTTCGGGTTTTACTACTTTTACTGGAAAGAACCTCAACGAGTACACATGTCAAGCTATCGCTGCAGCAGCAAACACGGAAAAAAATGATTTAGTCCTCACAACGAAGAAATTAGTTGCCACAGCAAACATATATTGGATGCAGCATACGATACTTCGCTACTGATACCTGTCACGACTGACATAATTTGATCACCACATCGACAAACCCGTCGAGTACTGAAACTATACAAATTTAGTATTCACACTGTATTAGTATCATCGAAAGCAGTCAGTAAGCTGGTAGAAATTCGCGATGAAAAACAAGGATACCGGAGGCGAAATTGGCCCGCCGCAATTTAGGCTATCTTTAGCTTCGCGCTGTAATCAAAAATTGAGGTGGGCGCGCAGTCAGCCACAATGATCTTAGTTACGGCACACTTCGTGCATCCGCGCGCCCACGGTCACATGACGTGGGAGGGAACTACGACTGAGCCGGATTCTATTGGTACTAAAGGGACCGCCCGCGCAAAGACAGCGCCCGAAGATGTTAAAGCGCGCTCTATCGTTAGTGAAGATGCTCCGCCGATAGAGGACGCTTCAACATTTTCGGGCGCCGTCTAGACCCTGGGCATTTTCCATTGCAACTCATGTCCGCGTCCTGCATGGCGCGACCTCACACTACAGAGAGACGGTTCTTCTCTTGTGGACTTCCTTCAGGTGCTGTTTTATCTCCTTGGAGAAGAGGTTTTCTTCTCCGAAATTGAATACCATCCGAAAACTAAATGAAATCGAGTTTCATTTTCCGTGAATCTATTTGCTCGGACACTCAATGGGTGTTTTGTCTCAGAAGCTCCTGCTAATTATTCACATCAAAGTACTCACTCGTTGTGGGGGATGTCCTCGTCCTGCTCTAACGACTCGGGCAGCGCGCTGGACAGCAGCAGCAGGAACAGCATCCACGCGCCGCGGGTCCTCCTGGGCGCCGGCCTGCCGGGCCCCAGTCCGGAGTGGGAGCCCGGCCCGGCGGGGCCGCCGGCGCGCCCCATTTGGGGCCCCGGCGTGGAGCCCATTACAGCCACCACCGCATCACCGCGACCTGCACAACCAAA